TTCAGACGTGTGCTCTTCCGATCTCCCCAAAACCCCAAAACCCCGTGATTCAAATAATTCAAATTAATACTGTTTGGATTTCTTCAAATTAAATTAACAAAAAAATGTCCAAAGGTTCAACTAAATAATCAGCTACTTTGGAGCTATCATATTAGGTTCCATCCAGCACAGGGGGGTTCTTGCCAGCTGATCCAATTAAATTCTGCTTGCGTTTTAAGCCACCCACCATAGCTATAGTGTATTAGATACTTCACTCATAAAAGGGTCAGAGAAAATACGTGCATGAAATCAAAGTAGACTTGAAAGAGAACAGTGACATCAACAAACTTTGCGAGGAATTGTTTGTAAAGGAAAGAACTTACTTTAATCCTTAAAAAATCAGCAGGCAGTAGGTAAGATAGTTCAATAAGACATCTCTATTGGAAAAATTAAGAATAATCTTCTCAAACTATTATTGAACCCATTCATTGACAATTTTCTATAGGTGCTTGATCTTCTAAACAAATTGTATTCTTAGCTGTACAAGTAAAATAAAGAAAACAAAATTTAAGCTAAGCCTGAAATAAAAGAAGAAGAGTAAAGAAAGCCAGCAGTATAAGAAAAAAAGAAATTCCCTGCTTATGATGAATAGTTTGACGATAGCGATGATGATGTCAAGCCTATTAAGAAAATTGAACCAGTTAAGAATGAACCCTCAAAAGATAAGAAAGGCAATATGTTAGATGACTTTGATGATGAAGATGACACTGATCCATGGAATTTAGAAGCATAAAAGAAGATCTAACAGAAACCTGCAGAAATAAAGCCTAATTTAAATTAATAAGTGCAAGACAATAAAAACAAAAATAATCCTTTTGATCAAAAGGTTAAGCCAGCTTTTGATGATCTTGAGGACATTGGATTCGAACTTGACTCTGATAGACCAATTGAATTCAACAATAATAAATAGAAAAAGGATGAAGATAAGTTTAATGATCTGTTTGGAGGTAACAAAGGAAATCAAAAGAGACAAGAGACTGAAGATAATGGTCTTTTTGTAGATAACGATTTCGGTGATGAGTTTGAAGATGACTATGAGAATGATTTCGATGATGAAAATCAAGCAAGCGAATAAAAATCTAAAAAGGTACATAAAGATGAGGATGAGGAGGAAGATATTTTTGAAAAATCTAGGTCTAAGGATAACAAAAAGGCTGATGAGTAAAAGCCTGCCAAGGATGAACTAAAAGGTGATAATCAAATTAAAAATGAGGTCAAAGCAACAGGAAGTCTTGAACCAGATGAGGATGAAGAAGAAGACGAAGAAGATGGAGATGGAGATCCAGAGAGTCAAGCTAGATTAATAAATGAATAATTCAATCAAATATACGAGAATGATCCCTAACTCAGATAAGTACTAGGAAATGAGATCAATGGACTTTCCTTAGAGGAAAAGTATCAAATCATGACAGCCTATTTGAATGGTGGCGGTGTTCAAGGTTTACTTGGAGAAGATGATGAAAAGGCTGGTATTGATGACGATGATGCTAGAGCTATTGAAAATGAGTTTAATACAATTTATACTAGTGATTCTAAACTCAGAGAAATTTTACAAGGTCAAGATCCAACAAAACTCACATTGGAAGAAAAATATGAAATACTAGCTGCTTACAAGAAAGGTGGTGGAGTTCAAGGACTTCTTGGAGGTCTAGAAGAGGAGGAAGAAGAGAGTATTATTGAACACAATGGTCAGAAGTTCAAGAGAGTATAAATTGAAGGGGAAGCTTAGGAGTACCTAATGGATGAAGCAGGAAATATATACGATGGTGAATTTAATTTTATCGGGCAAGCCAACAACTCTGACGAGGAAGATGGATGAATGGATTATTAAGATTACAATTATATAAATGTGTATAATAATTAGCTAAAGAATTAAGAAAGCTGGAGAAATATCTAAATCTATATTTTAATTTCACATTCTATGTGTATACATACTTCGAAGGGGTTTTGGGGTTTTGGGGTTTTGGGG